ATTATGCTTTTCGCATATTGGCCACTTGCTTCAAAATATGCTTCGAAATCACACAAAAGCAGAAAAATATGCTCGAAATATGCTCGAAATATGAACTGATATCAGTGATAATTTATTATGCGAGTTCTTTGCTCCTTGTAGCAAAATATGCTAGATTTGCTACTTTATGCGACCTTGAGTTGCGGACACTCTCTTCTCGGGTCAAATTTTCGCCCCGTGTTTTGATGAGCATTTTTCCTTCCGGGCTAAGTTTGGAAGTGTTCCCTGACCGAGCGTGCCGTGGTAAGTTTCCATGTCCATTTCCGCAATCTGCCCTATAATTATGCAAATTTGGACTTCACGGAGAATTTCAGTTTTAGGAAATTAGAAAAGCCAGATATGAAAGAAAGAAAAAATCATCAGTCACACCACCGGGACTCGAACCAAGGACCTTGCTATTCGCGAGCAATGCTCTAACCAACTGAGCTACAGTATGACTCTTATCCACAGTGATCATGGTGATGGTAAATCTATCCTTCTTCGATCAATCCGTATCTGGCTTGCATCATACTGGCAACTCACACCAATCAAGAGGGCCCTCGACCATTCGCTTGATATCATGGGGAGCGCATCAAACTATGTCCACTGCGAGCAAATACAAATTGCAATTTCAAATTTGGACTTCACGAAGAATTTCAAAGTTTTAGGAAATTAGAATTTGTATTTGCTCGCAGTGGACATAGTTTGATGCGCTCCCCATGATATCAAGCGAATGGCCGAGGGCCCTCTTGATTGGTGTGAGTTGCCAGTATGATGCAAGCCAGATATGGATTGATCGAAGAAGGATAGATTTACCATCACTGTGGATAAGAGTCATACTGTAGCTCAGTTAGTTAGAGCATTGCTCGCGAATAGCAAGGTCCCTGGTTCGAGTCCTGGTGGTGTGACTGATGATTTTTTCTTTCTTTCATATCTGGCTTGCAAGTGTTGAGTTTCGGAGAGAAAAGAGCAGTACGTGGCATGTGGCCTCTAATTTCCTAAAATCTTTGCTCCTTGTAGCAACATATGCTACATTTGGTACAATATGCTAGATTTGCTACTTCATGCGACCTTGTGTCAAAAGGACCAAAATATGCGAAAATATGCGCAAGCATATTCGGGCCCTCCCTATGTCCCAGTCTGTTAGTGTATGTACAGTGCTGGCAACTGAAATCCGACTTTTCAGTTGCCAGCACTGTACATGATGTAGATAATATTTTAAAGGGGAAGTATACCCTAAAATCAAATTTTCACCAGTTGTAGTCTTCGGGGTGCTGAGTCGAATGGTCTTGGTCCGAGGAAGCTGAGACGCTCCCTTCCTCCTTTATTCCCAATCGAACTCGCGCACTTCCACCGAAACTGGGTGACTGCGCCCTACAAGATGGGGATTTGTATGCAAAATGTCACTAAAAGCGCCATTTCGTTCTTATAAAAGCACGGATGACCGCGATTGGCCCATATGTTGTAGTCTTTTGGACGCTGAGTCGACTGGTTTTGGTCCGAAAAGGCTGCGATGCAGCGTTCCTCCTTTATTCCCAATCGAACATGGTTGAACAAGCGGTCACGTGTTCCTGCGTACACCAGTCACCTGGTCACCGTGCCTGCAGGGTACAACTTACTAGCCTGTTTGACCTTTTTTGGGTGCAGTCCTGTCACTCGAGTTGAACCTTGGTGTGAAAGTTGTCGCCTGCTGGCGTGGTGACCAGGTGATTTGGGCACCCAGGAGCACGTGACCGCTTGTTCAACCATGTTCGATTGGGAATAAAGGAGGAACGCTGCATCGCAGTGAAGCATCGGCGAAGGTCCTACACGGGAAGTCTAAAACATAACAACCACGCACTCACAAGCAAGGAGAGTTCCAAGTTCTTTAACCTGACCGGTTTCTGTGACATGAGTCACTTCATCAGAGGAATGAGGATAAATGACAATGTGGACCAGCGAACTGGACAGACAGGCGTTGAGCACTGTCGAGTAATTAGCGCGAAAAAAAAGAAAGCAATTTAGCGATTTAGCGCAAAAGAAAGCGTGAACAAAACACGGGGTTGCTTGCGAGGCGAAAAAACAAACACGAGGTTGAGTGCAAGGCATGGCATGAAACAAACACGAGGTTGAGTGCAAGGCATGGCATGGAGGTAAAAAATACCTATACCCATCGTGAATGTGGTTTCCTAAAACATAAGTTAGCGCGAAAAGAATTTTGCAGGGTGCGTTGAAGGCTGAGGAGGCCAGGGTGATAGTCAGTAACAAAAACTGTGGGGCAAGAGGCAGAAGCTTGCACAGAGCTAGCTGGAGGTATGAGTTGACAGCTAGCTGGGGTATCACTGAACGCATCGTGGAGAAACCTAGGAGGGTAACCACGCTTGCGAAGCCTGGTCCAGAAAGCATCACGTATAGCGAGCAGGGAGGTGATCTCACTGTTTGTGTGGTTATAGCGCAGCAATTCAGCTTTAATAAAGGCTCTGAAACATGAGCGGGGGTGGTCGGACGTAAATGGGATGTACAAATAAGCGTTCCTGGGCTTTTGGAAAGTACTGAATGTGAATGTGCATTAGAGATGATCAAATCAAGAAACTCAATACTTTTACTGGGGTCTGACCACGTAAGTCTGATGGCGTCAAGTTTTGCGTACATGTGCCGTTTGACGGCAGGCAGATTGCTCAGTCTTTTGATGATTAAGAGAAGATCATCAACGTATCGACCGAAGAACTTTATGGTGTTACGGAATACTGAGAGTGATGTACGCTCATGGACGAAGAGGAAAATATTTGCAACATTAACCGCCATGGGTTAAAGGCAGGCCCATTGTGTCGTGTCAGGGCTACTGCACAACCCCAGCCTCTCGCTATGTCGACTACCATATAAAGAGTCTCATGAAATCAGCAAACACTGTGTTTACTTCTACTAACGATGTTGTAAAGAGTTTGATCACTCCGTCGAACGATGACTTGAGTGACTGCTCCCTTTTGACTGCAGACGTCGAAAGTCTTTACACATGCATGTCGTGGAAAGACACGACCAATGCCTTGCACGTGTTCCTCGACGAAAATAATCACCCCATGAAAGACTTGCTCATTGATCTTTCTTCTTTTGTGCTAAGAAATAATTTTTTCGAGCATGATGGTTTGGTGTATCACCAAGAGAATGGCATGGCCATGGGTACACCCATGGCGGTTAATGTTGCAAATATTTTCCTCTTCGTCCATGAGCGTACATCACTCTCAGTCTTCCGTAACACCATAAAGTTCTTCGGTCGATACGTTGATGATCTTCTCTTAATCATCAAAAGACTGAGCAATCTGCCTGCCGTCAAACGGCACATGTACGCAAAACTTGACGCCATCAGACTTACGTGGTCAGACCCCAGTAAAAGTATTGAGTTTCTTGATTTGATCATCTCTATTAATGATAAATCCACATTCACATTCAGTACTTTCCAAAAGCCCAGGAACGCTTATTTGTACATCCCATTTACGTCCGACCACCCCCGCTCATGTTTCAGAGCCTTTATTAAAGCTGAATTGCTGCGCTATAACCACACAAACAGTGAGATCACCTCCCTGCTCGCTATACGTGATGCTTTCTGGACCAGGCTTCGCAAGCGTGGTTACCCTCCTAGGTTTCTCCACGATGCGTTCAGTGATACCCCAGCTAGCTGTCAACTCATACCTCCAGCTAGCTCTGTGCAAGCTTCTGCCTCTTGCCCCACAGTTTTTGTTACTGACTATCACCCTGGCCTCCTCAGCCTTCAACGCACCCTGCAAAATTCTTTTCGCGCTAACTTATGTTTTAGGAAACCACATTCACGATGGGTATAGGTATTTTTTACCTCCATGCCATGCCTTGCACTCAACCTCGTGTTTGTTTTTTCGCCTCGCAAGCAACCCCGTGTTTTGTTCACGCTTTCTTTCGCGCTAAATCGCTAAATTGCTTTTTTTCGCGCTAATTACTCGACAGTGCTCAACGCCTGTCTGTCCAGTTCGCTGGTTATATTGAGTTCCACATTGTCATTTATCCTCATTCCTCTGATGAAGTGACTCATGTCACAGAAACCGGTCAGGTTAAAGAACTTGGAACTCTCCTTGCTTGTGAGTGCGTGGTTGTTATGTTTTAGACTTCCCGTGTAGGACCTTCGCCGATGCTTCACTAGTAGACTCGTCCGCCCAAGAACGCGGTTTCAGAGGGCCAGCCTAGCAAAGTTCTTATTTTTCAGCGCCCCAGGCTACGTTCTTATTTCGCGTTCTTACGCGTCCAACATGACACGTGACGCTTAGGCCCCCGTGTAATATGCCGGCATTTTTTTGAGCATTTTCGGTGCAATCCGCGAACCCAGCACTTTGGGCTCGTGATGCAGCATTTTTTGGGGAAACGGAGCACTTGGCCGTTGTGTATCAAAATTGAGAGAAGAAAAACTTCCCAAACAAGAACGTCACTTCCGCATTCCGTGGGTTAGCTCCTTGTTGAGTAGTTTATGAATTGAAAATAATGGTTTTGACCAGGGAGTCGTATACATGTAATACCGCTATTTTCTGACTCCCTGGTTTTGAGTCTTTTGACGGCGTGTGCTGAGGATTACAAATAAGTGAGCATTTCCGGAGCATTTTCGGCAAGGTTTGGGAGCATTTTCGGCAAGGTTTACGAGAATTTCCCAAAAGCATTTTCGGCAAAGTTTCGGGCATATTACACCGGGGCCTAGTGACCTGGTGACGCTCATGTACAATGCACTTTGCTCTACAAAGACTACATGTACCGGCCGGTTGTACACTTTACATGCACTTGTAGCGCTGCACTGGGTGATGTTTTCGCGAAGACCCGGCAAGAGTTTGTGGTTGCAGACTTGTTTTTCGTGTACTCGGAAACGTGAAATACCAAAAAATGTCGCGTTCCTAAATCCAGGCTGGGGCGTTCTTAGATTTCCAGTCTTATCTGGACGTTCTTGGGCGCCACGTTCTTGGGCGTACGAGTCTACTGCAGGCTGAGTACTAATCTACTGACCTCTATCCTAGCGACCCACGTTAGTCGTTAGTCTTGAACTCTTGTATTCATGGTATTCGGCTTCAGCTCCTTTTGGACACTCACACTCCTAGTGTTACTGTTACCGGTTACCAGTCACAGGTATTTTGGGCTGTGCGTGTGCGTGTAGTGCTGGGCATCTTGGAAGAGAAGGAGTGGGTTCAGGAGTCAGTTAGCTGCCATTACAAAACGAGACACTCTGGGCTCGGTCCGATCGGGGATGTTCCATGCCGCCTTTGCTGTGAATGCCGCGTTTAGTGCGACTACAATAGACTCTGCTGCAACGAGAATAGAACGACGATGGCATTTCCCAGATCCACGCAGCGGCGAGGACGAAGTGCCGCAGTGGTGTACGTGTGTAGTCCCCGGATCGTGCGACTGCATGACTTGTCTTGTATTCAGCATGTAGCAGCGAACAGGCGCTGGGCTACACTCCGCAAGACGCACACAAAGCATCCACACGCCTACTCGGATCGGAGTAAACAAAGCCCTGCAACGGCGATACAGCAATCACTGGTAAGCTCTCTGCTCTCTTTCACAAAGTTTCAGACCGTTGTTTGATCAACTGTTGATGCACAGCAGCTTCGCCGAGTCGACACGCTCAAGGTCCTTCAGTTCCGTTTCCGTTACTGTGTCGCTAGTGTCTGGTTGTTGTCGGCTGGTTTTTGGAGTCGTAATTCGGTGCTACCAGCCATCTACCGGTACTCATGGACGGAAAACCAAAAAAGCGTCTTGGGAGGAGGCCAACTTTGGAGATCAGTGTGGATTCATCTCTCGTGTCACCGGTGCGGGATAGAGCCGGCAGGCCATCCATTGCGGTCGATGGCGACGAGGATCCAACCGTTCTCACCGAGGAGAACATGCGTCCTGAGGAGTTCGAGAGAATATGCGAACTAGGATCGGGCAGTGGCGGCGAGGTGGTCAAGGTGCGCTTTCGACCGACGGGAATGATCATGGCCAGGAAGTTGATTCACTTGGAAGTGAAGCAAAGTGTACGGAAGCAGATCGTCTTGGAGCTGCAGGTGCTAACCAAGTGCAACTCGCCCTTCATTGTCGGTTACTACGGATCATTCTACGCGGAGGGAGAGATCAATATCTGCATGGAACACATGGATGGTGGGTCACTGGACCAGATCATGAAGCGGGCCGGGCGCATACCGGAGGATATCCTCGGCAAGATAACGTGCAATGTTCTCGATGGGCTGGTGTACCTGCGTGACATACACAGTATCATGCACCGAGACATCAAGCCGTCCAACATCCTCATCAACAGCAAAGGCGAAATCAAGCTGTGCGACTTCGGCGTGAGCGGACAGCTCGTTGGCTCCGTTGCCATTACGTTTGTCGGCACTCGATCGTACATGTCGCCGGAACGGCTGGAGGGTGTTGCCTACACCGTGCAGAGTGACATCTGGTCGCTGGGATTATCGCTCGTCGAGCTGGCCCTGGGCGTGTTTCCCATCCCAAAGCCGTCGCCAGAGCGGATCAGCCAAGCCCTGCAGGCACCGGCTGCGGGCAGCGACGGTGCGACCGCTCTGGCGTTCAACGACGCAGAGCCGTGCATGGCAATATTCGAGCTGCTCGAGTACATTATCAACGCCGCGCCTCCAACCCTTCCCAGCCCGTACTTCTCGCCGGAGATCATTAGTCTTGTCAATTCCTGCATGATGAAGGAGCCCAAGGAGCGGCCAAGCCTCCAGGAACTAAAGCAGCATAAGTTTGTCCGGCGGTCCTCGGCAGCGCATGTCGACGTGGCTAAATGGATTCTTTCAACAATGTAGTCGAGGTAATCACGGGGATTACTGTAACGCCGACTCACACCACCAAGCCATGCGAGTTCCTAACAGTGTCCTGGTGCAGAGCGCTATGCCCTGCTGTCGGCGCTTTCTCCATTCGCATGCACTCAGCTGGAGACACGGCGCCTATGCTACCTCCTACACTCGTGAAGTGTTTATAATTCAACAACCGTCAGCCCTGTGAAGCTAAACAGTTTTAAACTGGTTGATTGTCTCCATTTCCTACTTGTGATTCTTCTCTTGTGCGTACACAGTGCACAGAACACATGGAATGACCCTGGCATTTGGAACATATCACTTAGAAGTGATTGCTATTGCGACGTGTTGCTCGACTTATCTCCAATATAATGCACCATCGTAATAATTATAATCCGATATTGTATCTATTTTCTCTCTCTTTTTTTTAAAACAATTATTCTCTCATAGATATTTCAGTGAATTTATTTCTCGCCATGCCTTACCCGGCCTGTCCAATAGTGTGTGTGTGTGTGTGCGTACGCGCGTGTGTGTGTGTGTGTTTGGTCAATGCGCAACTCGCTTCACTTACTGCATTCATAGAATTTTATTTATTTTTGTTATTTATGCTTGAAACGAGTTGCAACGTAAAACTGTTTCGGCATAGGGTGCAGTGTGGTGACGGTGTTATGGGTGAAATTCATGGTTTCAGCTAGACAGTTCTTTGCCCTTCTCTGAACATTGTACGTGTTCTGTCATTGGTACACCTCACACCGAGTCGTTACGCGGAAAAGCCTTAATATATTTGTGCAGCTGTACTGTTGAGTTTCCGCTGTAGAATAAAATGAAATTAAATCCAGCATTTTCAAGCCGACATTTTTTCTGGAAAGAGGACTATAAACGAGGCCCTTGAAGTTATAATGTATGGTATCGAATACTGACGATGACAATGAGTATATTTACAACTACAGCGAAAGCACAATGAGATTGTGTCTGTCGGGTGATGAAGAAAGTGGACCATGGGTACCATACCATGGCTATCCTAGAACTTGTTCGCTTTGCCCAAAAGGCTAGATACGGGGCAAGGGTACCCAAAGGGCACAGCTTTTTATTATTGAATGATATTAACTGCGCACGCATTTCTCCTACACACGAGGCAAGGTAGGTCTAGAGGTTTCCAAGAACGCTTTCTTGTGATTGTGTTCTTATTCTGTTTGTTCCTTTTTTTTGCAGGATAACTGCTGAGCTTTGTTGTCCTATGTTTCTTCTGCTTGTCACCGCCCTGCCTGCAGATTCTCTATGTGAAGAACCTGGCTGCCAACACCACACACGGTGATCTGTTGGCTGTATTCAGTGCTGCGTGTGAAGGACATCTGGACAGTGCTGCTACTGCTGCAGCTGGTCCACTGCATGTCCGTCTCATGAAGAAAGGAAAGCTACGGGGACAAGCGTTTGTGACTTTCCCATGTACGTACCTTACCTATAATGACCCCCCCCCCCCCCCCATCCAGCCCTCATGCATAGGCTGTAAGTCCATTCGATTTTGCTCATTCACATTGTGGAGCCATCATATGTGAAGGAGAAAGAGGGTTCCTTTTTTAGCGGTTCAAAGTGTGAACATGTGTCACTTCCTGCACCCGCGCCCACCTGCTGCAATTGTGAATGATTCATTTTTTCTCCCAGTTCCAACCCTTCACTACTTGGGACTTGGCCTTGGGATCTTGTGCTGTAGTGCAATGCTTGTAGCTTGCTTGTAATTGAACACAGTCGCCCCCCCCCCCCCCCCACCCCTACCTTACTTATATTGTTGAAGCATCTTCGTAAATTTGAAGAACAAACCTGCACTGTTGCATCACCTAATCTGTCTCATGTTGGGTGTGTTCACTTATGTGTGTGTGTGTGTGTGTGTGTGTGTGTTGCGCGCGCGCGCATGTGTGCGTGTTCCCTGCAGCTTTGGAAGGTGCCAAAGCAGGTCTGGCAGCAGTCAACGGCTACATCCTCCACGGCAAGCCAATGATAATCCAGTACGGCCGAACACCAGCAACCACCAATGCAGCAACGAGTACCACCGATACCTCCTCCGATGCTGCTAGTCATCTAGATGATGGCAATGGTGACGACGAGGGCAAGACGAAGGTGAGCGACGTGATCGAGTCCTCGCCAGGCTGAACGGTACTGTGTGTTGGGTTCAGATGTGTGTGTTACGTGCCTCACAACTACTGGAGACCAGAGACGGCATAATACACATTACAAGTCCCCGCGAATAGTGGAAAACCGTGCTCCCGCATGGTCGATCTTGAGTTGAGTAAAACTCTGGGTTTGTTGCTGCTCAAGCTCACCACAGAACATTGGGACGACTTCACCTCAGTTTTTCACTCATGGCAGCACAGTCCAGCTCAATGCAGCACTGGCTCGGATGTGTTTGCCTGGTCTGCAGTGCCAATACAGCAACACTGTCACAGTGTGCTGCTGATCCAGGTTACGACGTGTTCCTTGCGCTGAGAAGCAGAGAATAACCTGTGCAGGTCTGCAATGAGATACACCCATACCGCTCTCATCTGCTGTGTGCATGACAGGTTTCTGCAGGGTGTTTCCACCAGTTTTGTCAGCGGGGCATCCTCTGCTCAAGAGGCAGTGCACCTGACTTCCAGGAGCTGTCTTGCGAACGTAATAATTACCGACATGCCAGTTTATATGTCCAGCACAGTGAATGCTGCTGCCTGGATGTATTGGAATGAAGCAGTGTTCTACCGTGTGAGAGAACATGACATCGGTGATAGGCTGTACATTCCCCCTGGCTCCAGTCCAAGGAGACACACCATCTCTGTTCTGGATTCAGCTTCTCGCTGTAGTCGCAAGAGTCCCGGCCTTCAAGGCAAACAGCTTGCTGGATGGTGTAAGCACTGCTGCGCATCTTACTGATGAGCTGTAACAGTGTTCTCCGTGCAGCAGTATCTCCATGCCTGTCCAGAGAGTCTCTTTGCTGGCATGTGCGTATGATGTTCTATAGTACTGTAATAATCATTCCCCAGCAGTACATGTACAGCCAAGTATGTGGTCATGCCTGTGCGCACACACATGCACACACCGACGTCACGCGAGTTTGTTCTCCGTGCATTCTGTATGTGCTACCAAGAGTATCCCCCCCCCAAGAGTGTGCAACTCTGCATAGGGGTCTCCGGCGGCGAAAACTCACATCATGTGTCTCAGGTACGTTTTGTACTATGTACAACTAAGGATAGCGTGCGCGCAATCCGAAAATCTGCCATGATTATGCTGGCGAGTTGCATACCGTCCAATAGGAACCATCCTGAGTTGCACACTCTGGTTTATGTACTCTTGGTGCTACTAAAATTAGCGTTTGTAGCCATGCGTTTTTTTGCTCTCATATTTTCCGAGTATAAAGAATACGAAACGTGCCCAAAAGACATTGTACTGTACAACGTCTAGAGAAGAGGGTGTGCAAGCCTAGATGATCGTTTGATTGAATTATAATACTACTAAAAAATAAACAAAGCACTGAAAACGGAATAGGAACTTCATGGAGAATGAATGATGACAGGTCACCAGGACTAAGACTGAATGATAGAGTATAACCATAGCTATCGTTTTATGAGTTTTACATGAAGACACGTTTTAGCAGAGTGCCAGAAGATTGCAGGCATCACTTGATTATTGACAGGGGAGGTTGTTGTGCAAGTCATTGCTCTGAAGGGCATTAGCCTGGCCTGGAGTGACCTGGCCAAAGACAAGTGCACCATGCGGACATTTAGGACATTGCGCGTGGAGGCATCCTTTGTGCCTGGTCTGACGGTGGAGTTGCTTGCATCATGTTGACCACCGGAGGAGGCAAAACAAGCCTGCTTGCTGCGTTGGGTTTTATGGAGAAATAACCTGGTGTCCAGGCGTGTCCAGGCGTGCCTAGCAGATTATACCTCTTCGTCCATATCCAATTCAAACCCAGATGACTCCTCTTCTGTGGGCATTAGGAGAGAGTGCAACGAAACGAGGACAACAGATGCACCTGTGGCAAGACAAACACACACACACACAACATAATGAAGAAGGCAACGGTACAGTGATTGAAAAAATGTAGATAGTATACTAGCATAAGATTAACAAGCATACAACAGCTTGGTAGGACCTGACATAGACGCAAACATAGTACGCACAGTAACACACACCAAATAGCCCACTGGACATAAGAGGATGCACGCACGCACGCACCCACGCCATACAATAATGCCCATCCGCAGAGGATGGCAGGTCCTGAAAGGACTGACAGTGTTTCTGTCATGGAGAACAGAACTTCGAATGGCAAGAAACACAAGCACACGCGTGCGCGCGCGCGCGGAGGTGAACATACCAATGATCCACAGTGTGGCTGAGCCGGCAGACGACAGGAAGAGTAGTGGTATAGCAATAAGAGCTGTCAGCATGAGATGATCATTGGTGGTGAAGTCACGTCCTGAAAGAAGCACACATCATATCACCAATTATTTACAACATTAGCGGATTTGACTGCTTAGTTTTATGCGTACGCCAATCAGTAGACACTAAACCATGCACACACACACACACACACACACACACACCACATGGTACCGCAATTTCAAAAGAATATACTATCTTTCTGATTAACTGTTTTAGGCAAGGTCTATGTGATCGCTTTGTGGATAAAGTTGGCAAAGTGGGTGTTGATTACCCCATCCCTCGAAGAATTGATAACTGCAAAGCTTGTCGGAGCATAGTCATGGGCGAAAGACCTGCAACAGAAATATCTTCAACAAGCTTTCCACTGATGATGGAGTCAAACAGCAAGCAAGCCTGGACAATCCACCACTGTGGTGCTAGAGTATCGTGCACACTCTGGATTTTGAGCCTGAACTAGCGAAACCTACTGTATGAACAGAAATATTCGTCTGGACTTTAATTTCGTCTTTTTTGCCCAGGGAGCATTCGGACTAATTTCGATTTGTCCAGCTTTTCAATACACTTTTATGGTCCATGGACTAAATTTGCAAGCGGACAAACTCCCTTTCTTTGAAGTTGGACGAAATTATTGACCGGCTAAATGTTGTACCTGTACAGTATAGTAGCGACACCTGTACTGCGCACTGTAGCCAGTACTGGTAGCACAGTGCATGATAACACTACAGCCTAGTACAGGGCATGATAACACTACAGTGCATGATAACACTACAGTGCATGATAACACTGCAGTGCATGATAACACTACAGCCTAGTACAGGGCATGATAACACTACAGTGCATGATAACACTACAGTGCATGATAACACTACAGTGCATGATAACACTACAGTGCATGATAACACTACAGTGCATGATAACACTACAGGACATGGTAACACTACAGGACACTACAGGACATGATAACACTATAGGACACTATAACACTATAGGACACTATAACACTACAGGACACTATAACAGCGGTGTCACTTCAGTGCCACACCGTAGCGCTTACCCAGTACGCGAATAGGTTGGGCGGCAAGTCGAACACCGATGAAATGATGCGCAATGGCAGTGATGAACAAGGCGATGAGAAGCATGGGCGATGAGATTCTACCAACACAACACAAACACAAAATCAATGTGTTCAATGGCAGATCACGTCACTGAGCCGTGAGGAGTAGCCGCAGGATTTGAATAGTGCTAGGCTTCTCTGTAACACCAAGAGTACATAACCCCCAAGAGCGTGCAGTTGTCTGCACAACCTCAATATAATGCTGTGACGGTGGAACTTCACATCACGTGACATGCTTCAAAAGGTTACGCTGGCAAGCAGTGCAAAGTGACCACAGGAGAGTTGAACCCAAAGCAGGGATGCATGGGTATAACCCTGTATCAAGAGTACATAACCCCATCAGAGTGTGCAACGCCGATCCAGCTCTGCACAGATCAAGAGTACATAACCCCCCAGAGTGTGCAACGTCAATCCAGCTCTGCACAGATCAAGAGTACATAACCCCCCAGAGTGTGCAACGCCGATCCAGCTCTGCACAGATCAAGAGTACATAACCCCCCAGAGTGTGCAACGCCGATCCAGCTCTGCACAGATCAAGAGTACATAACCCCCCAGAGTGTGCAACGCCGATCCAGCTCTGCACAGATCAAGAGTACATAACCCCCCAGAGTGTGCAACGTCAATCCAGCTCTGCACAGGGTCTTGGTCGAGCGGAATCGGATCTTCTGATGTCATGCGTACATCCACACCAGCACAAGGCCGGTCTCGAGGCAGGGCACCATTGTTTTTGATCCAAGAGTACCCACGACTCCCAGGGTTCCCCTCAGATGTGTACGGTATTATGACGCAAAGATCGATTCCGCTCGACCAAGACCCTATGCAGAGCTGGATCAGGCGTTGCACACTCTGGGGGATTATGTACTCTTGCCTGTATCTATCATGCACAAGGTGCAAACAATGTGTCAGGTTCGTCACGTGATGTGAAGTAACTGCCGTCGCAGACACCATAGCTGGAGTTGCACACTCTTGGGGTACTCTGGGTACCCCCTCCCCCCCCCCCCCCTTATCCAAACCAGAGTGCTATATGCAAGCAGAGGCCATGGTTCAAACAGGACTCGAAAGGGCAGGGCATGAGTCACATGACCAATACACAATGCTACATGGAAAACATACGTTTTCAGTTCGTTTCCACTGATCACATGTATATGAAAACATTTTCAAGTGTTTACACACACACACACACACACACACACACACACACACACACACACAGAGGGAGAGAAGACGGTAGCATCTGCTGTTGTCAATTTGTGTGTTGCTATGGCAAGCTACTCAGCAGGATGCTGACAGCTCGGGGCACAAACACAAATGAGCTCGATGAATCGCAGCGTGCGGCATGTGAAAGCCTTTTGAACATTAATCAAATAGCGATACATGCCTGTCGACACTTGGAAGTACGTTTATTTTGGCATTTTGAAAACATTTTCGTCTTGGTGGAAACTGGGTTTAGTTCCTGTTGACCACTGCAAGTGGTTGATGGCCATTGATTACATAGTAAGCACAGACACCCACCGCTCACAGCCAGCATGTTTTGGGAAAGTGTACATGCCTCATCAGCATGTTGTGTACGGCGTGTGCATCATACGTATTACTATTAGGCTGCATGCATCACTGTCTTGTCTGTGCCACACCATATAGCCATTGTATCATCCACTGTACTGTGTGTGTGTGTGTGTGTGTGTGTGTGTGTGTGTGTGTGTGGTGTGTGTGTGTGTCTTCCAAAATGCTTTGGCAAGAGGGTAGCCTTCCGACAGGTTGGGCTAGTTTCGGCTCCACAATCCAGTGTGTCGTTACTATAATTATAGCTTTCATGGCTGAGGTTGTTGGTACGTCTGTTGGCCCTGGGTTCCCAGTACCCAGTTGCCGAGGCTGGTTGGTAAAATAACTCCAATTTCACTTCAAGGTAGCAGTGCATTTAGTGTCTGCTTTTATTTAAAGCAGCGTGCTGTCTATACTGGTTGCCCCAGCAAGTGTAGGGTGTGCATAGGTAACTGTCTTGGCCGTCCTATTCCGATGTACTCCGTGTGGTGTAGACCAGGTGTGCATTGGGGGGTCGATTCACACGGCTTCGCCAGTTGTGTGGATTAGACAGTTATCTGGCCCTAGTCTTCATCTGTTTCAATCAGAATCAGATCTGCTATCGTTGCTATAAAAAGAAAATCTGTGGGTGCACGTCCAGTGCATTTGCAGATTTGCGTGCTTCTCTTGCGACGGGCGTATACATGGTACATGGTGTGTGTGTGTGTGTGTGTGTGTGTGTGTGTGTGTGTGTGTGTGTGTGTGTGTGTGTGTGTGTGTGTGTGTGTGTGGTGTGTGTGTGTGTGTGTGTGTGGCCTGCTCCAACTGATTTCTAAGGATCAACACATGGACGTGCTTTCCTGTGCTGACGCAAGGCACATACAGTACACGTACTTGCTGTGACATCCACCACGTGGCACCAACAGCAAGTAAACTGTTTGTCCGCAAACTACTTATCGTCACCAGTAATAATACTTACACACAGTATACAGCCAATCCGAGGCACACGAACAGGTAGTTGCTCTGAAAGCGCACCAGGTTCAAGCGCAGACGACTCAAAGCTGCTCCCGTTGACTTGGGTCGGGATGCCTTGTTGTTGATGAATTCTCCCCAGGGCTGGACGGTTTTCCGCCGATCATTGATCCATTCCTTCATGTTTTGAATGCGCGACACATACGAGCCTGCAGAAGCAGCATCCATTTTTTCCATCGTAGGCTCGGTTTCTGTTACTGCTGCTTTTTCTGCCATACGAAATGCAGGAACGCTCAACTAGCAAATGTCAGCTACGTTGGAGACTTCCGAACTCAACTCTTTCGAGCCAGGGTCGACACACACTATCTCGCGCTCATGACATGTAGAGAAAGACACGAACAAAGCGACACTGCAGGCTTTTCTCGGTTCTTTCTTTGTTTTGTTCTGTACTGCTGTGTTGTCTTGACCACTCGTGGATGACGTCACTATTAAACGTAATTTTCTGACGTGACGCGAAACTAGCTCGCGGGTGCAAAACTGGTGCCACCGGCCGGGGGTTTGAGCTCTCACTCGGATCTGGCTTCTTTTCTGGTGCATGCCCCGTTCGCAACTCACCTGACCCTGATGCAGAGTGCTAGTGGCCAGTGTTGCCGGTGCAACAGCAGCGGCACCTGCGTCAGGTGTGACTGCACCAAGGCGGCACGGAAAATGCTGGAGCTGCCTTCCGTCAAAGAAAGATCGTTGTAAAAATTCCGACATCCCTTTTCCACCCCAGCCGGAGCTGTCAACGACCACCGACAACCATACGGCCACGGTGCAGGACAATGCTACGGGAACAGTTCGAACCGTACAGTGTGATAATGCCAGCGTGGATGCCAGTGCAGCCACAGCTGTCTCGTGTTCCCAGCAATTTGCTTGGGATACCCTGGATCGGGCTGCAGCGACAACCACTAGCAGAGAGGCTGCTGCCTTGACAAATGCACTACTCGCAGAATGTCGAGCCAGCGAAGGAACCGAACTGCACAGCCAGAACAGTAGCCAGGCAGCAAAGGGACCGACTAATGATGCCGACGTAGGAGATGTCACTGCGGAGCGCGCAGCCCAACATCGCGACCCCTAGTCGAACCATAGATAGTATAGGGAAAGCTCGAGTCTGGAGAGAGACGTGGACCTGCTGGCACACCTAGCCGACTCCCCAACCCCGGATGGCGCTGTGCAAGCAGAGCTGAGGACAGCTGGTGAAGACAGAGATGTAGTCACTAGTGCGCGATCTCCCTATCTTTGAGGAAGATGGAACTGACTGTGTTCTCGGCCCTCACACTGCACCAGATGTGAATCAAGTTCTCAGTTCAGCGTACGCAGAAGCGGTTCATTTCAGGGGCAATCTGTTCGAAGTACCCAGTTGAGCAGTGGAATCGGAGTTTGTGCGCCTCATAGCATCGTACTATCAGATGTTTGGATCCAGAGGGGCAGGAGCAGGAGTTGCCATCCAAGCTGCGACGGTGGCCACACAACTTCTATTGCAAAGGCCCCACCAATGCAAGGATCAAGCGGTTCATCGTGAGTGCCTCGGGCGGCGTCTGCAGTTGTGGACAGATGGCAACATCAACGAACTGATCATAGAAGCCCGCACCATTCAAAGACAACTTGCAGAAGCTGTCCACAACCCAAGAGTAGCCCCTGAATCAGACAATGCTCGACAGTTTGCGTCCATGGTGAAATCAGAAAAGCTGAAAGCCGCGGCCCACATGCTGAGCAATGAGCGGTCGGGGGGTCTGGATCACCTAAACACAGTGATGGGCGATACCACAGTTCGGGAAGCCTTAAAGGGGAAGTTAAGGCAAAAATCAAAATTTCACCAGTTGTAGTCTTCGGGGTGCTGAGTCGAATGGTCTTGGTCCGAGAAAGCTGAGACGCTCCCTTCCTACTTGAATCCCAATCGAACTCGCGCACTTCCACCGAAACTGGGTGACTGCGCCCTACGAGATGGGGATTTGTATGCAAAATGTCACTAAAAGCGCCATTTCGTTCTTATAAAAGATGGATGACCACGGATGACCGCGATTGGCCCATATGTTGTAGTCTTTTGGACGCTGAGTCGACTGGTTTTGGTCCGAAAAGGCTGCGATGCAGCGTTCGCCCCTAATTCCCAATCGAACATGGTTGAACAAGTGGTCACGTGCTCCTGCGTACACCAGTCACCTGGTCACCGTGCCTGCAGGGTACAACTTACAGCCTGTTTTGACCTTTTTTGGGTGCAGTCCTGTCACTCGAGTTGAACCTTGGTGTGAAAGTTGTCGCCTGCTGGCGTGGGGACCAGGTGATTTTGGCACCCAGGAGCACATGACCACTTCTTCAACCATGTTCGATTGGGAATAAAGGAGGAACGCTGCAGCCTTTTCGGACCAAAACCAGTCGACTCAGCGTCCAAAAGACTGCAACATATGGGCCAATCGCGGTGATCTGTGCTTTTATAAGAACGAAATGGCGCTTTTAGTGACATTTTGCATACAAATCCCCATCTAGTAGTAGTAGGGCGCAGTCACCCAGTTTCGGTGGAAGTGCGCGAGTTCGATTGGGATTCAAGTAGTAAGGGAGCGTCTCAGCTTTCTCGGACCAAGACCATTCGACTCAGCACCCCGAAGACTACAACTGGTGAAATTTTAATTTTTGCCTTAACTTCCCCTTTAAAGGCAAAGTACCCCTGTCCTCGTCCACTCCAACCAGCCGCTGTCATCCAAGGAACGCCTCCAGATCCGCCTCATCTTGTCCTGTTCACTGCTATCAACCGTGAACTCATAAGACGGGCTGCCCTCAACACGCAAGGAGCAGCAGGACCTTCAGGTCAGGATGCGGCCAGTTGGAGGCGCATGTGTACCTCGTTCGGCAGAGTGTCCGATGATCTGTGCAATGCGTTGGCGTCAAGTGCCCGTCGCATTGCGTCCTCCCAAGTCGATCCAGCCAGCTTACAAGCATATGTAGCGTGCCGTTTCGTACCGCTCAACAAGAAACCAGGGGTGAGACCCATTGGCATCGGGGAGATGGTTCGCCAGATTCTTGGAAAGGCAATACTCTATGTTCTCGGACCAGAAGTACAGCAAGCAACTGGCAGCCTACAACTCTGTGGTGGGCAAGAATCCGGTATCGAAGCAGCCATCCATGCAATGAGGGAGGCTTTCGACACAGATGAAGTTCAAGGTGTGCTATTTGCAGATGCTACCAATGCAGTCAACAATTTGAACAGGCAGGCGTGTCTCCGTAATGTCCAACATCTATGCCCTGATTTTGCGGCAACACTTGTCAACACCTACCGAGCACCGGCAGCAATGTTCGTAGATGGTGAGACCATATGGTCAGCTGAAGGCATGACACAGGGTGATCCCCTTGCTATGCCCATGTTTGCATTGGGCACTGTTCCGCTTATCCAGCATCTTTCAGCAAGCGACGTTCTTCATAGCTGGTATGCTGATGACCCCAACTCCGCGGGCAAGCTGAGGAGACTGCGAGCCTGGTGGGACATGCTCGGTGTCGAGGGCGAGGGCTATGGCTACTACCTGAATGCTGCCAAGTCAGTACTGTTGATCAAACCACAACACGAGGAGTTGGCAAGAGAGAGAGATCTTCAGCGGCACAGACATTGTCATCAGAACGGATGGTCAACGTCATCTTGGGGCGGCTCTCGGAACAGAGGCATTCTGCAACGAGTATGTGCAGCTCAAGGTTGATGGGTGGTGCACAGAAGTCTGCAATCTGGCTGCTATTGCCATGACACAACCGCAAGCAGCCTACGTGGTCTTCACCAATGTCCTGCGCCATAGATGGTCCTTCTTAGCAAGGACAATGCCGGGTGTACATGAGTATTTTCACCCACTGGAGCGGACTATTGCAACGAAGCTCATCCCGGCTCTGACTGGTCGATCACCACTTGGAGCAGAGGAGCGGTCAGTTCTCGCAATGCCCTGTCGCCACAGAGGTCTAGGGATAGTCTCCCCTCCCTCGCTGACCACCCAGTTTGGTGCTTCCGTGAAGATCACAGAGGCCCTGGTTATGAAGATCCGGAGACAAGACATGTCGCTAGAAGGTGTTCCTGAGCAAACTCGCATAGCCAAGTCTGCTGTCCGGGAGGCTCATAGACAACAAGAAGAGCAGCACCGAAAGGATGTCTTCAACAGCGTCTCTCCCGACCTGCAGCGGTGCATGGAGCTTGCGGCGGAGAAGGGCGCATCCAACTGGCTAACCTGCCGCCCTTTGGCACGGTTTGGCTTTGCGCTCTCCAAGGCCGAGCTCCGGGATGCCCTCTGTCTGCTCTATGGCTGGCAGCCCAACAATCTCCCCACCAAGTGTGTGTGCGGGCAGCAGTTCACAGTCACCCATGCTCTGTCTTGCCCCAACGGCGGCTTACCCAGCATTCGGCACAACGAGATCAGGGATGTGTTTGCAGAGTGTTTGGTGAAAGTCGCTAATGCAGTGGAGATCGAGCCACATCTAAAGCCCCTCAGTGGAGAGCACCTTCAGCCACGCACCGCGGTGAGAGGCGACCGAGCTCGATTGGATGTGGTGGCAAATGGCGTGTACAGCGGTCGTTTTGAGCGTTCATTTTTGGATGTAAGGGTTTTCAACCCCTGTGCTCGCTCCAATTCATTGTCGTCCATTGCCTCTGTCTACCGCAAACACGAGCAGGAGAAGCGCCGCTTATACGAAGCACGTGTGCGAGAGGTGGAACATGCCTCCTTCATCCCTGTCGTCTACGCTACCTCTGGTGGAGCAGGTCGAAGTGCTAATGCTTTGGTGAAGAGGATCGCAAGTCTCATGGCAGAGAAGAAGTTGCAGCCCTACCCACAAGTGATGGCTTGGCTGAGGTCGAAGATCAGCATCTCTCTCGTCAGAGCCTCTATCCTATGCCTGCGCGGTTCAAGACGTCCTGGGGCACGCATCCACCCCAACCCAGACAATATTGGACTGGAGGTGGTTGAGGCTCGGCTTTCCTCGTAGACGGACTCATCTTCTTCTTTTGTGATCAGTGTGCAATTGAACTGTCTTTTTTCTTTTCTCTGTTTATTCTTTTTACCAGGCGTGGGCCATCCCCTGGACTATCAAAATGGGTGCCTTATTATTTTTCAGTTTTTTTAGTTTCGTATCAGACTGTACACCATTTCTTCAAAATTTCATCGTTTTATAGCTCGCCAGGCTGGCGTGTCGAAAAACAACTACAGACTACAGTGTATTTTACTTATAAAACGTCGAACGCGAGTGACCTCGACCCGCGCAGCTGCATGCACAGCTAGCTCACGTCGAAATTTGGAGTTTTACGCCAAATTTGACGTGAAACTGCGTGTCACGAAACTGCGTGTCACGTCGGAAATAACGTGCAACTTTTAACCTCGCAGAACGGGAGATGCAAAAACCGTCCTTCCGCTTC